AGGCAAAGGAGTGGTCACCTCCCAGATCCAAACTGTAGGAAACATGAGACTCACCCAGTGTGGTGAATGGGGTTGATTGAATGGGGGTTAATTGAAGTAAAGCAACAGAGAAGTGAAGACGACCCTTGTGCAGCCCAATAAAAACGCAGTATGGCCTCAGAGTGGTCAATGGAGTCCAATAGGAATCAGCAGAAAACAAAACCCGGCATCTCTGGTTTTTGCTTTCGGTCCCAGGGCAGCGCTGGCCTCCCCAGCTGTGTCTGTGGCTTTCAGTCCCTGGGCTGGATCTTGCCTTTTGGGCTGTCCTTTTTGGCTCTGGGGCTGGTGCCAGCCTCTCTGGCTGTGGCTTTAGGCCCTAGGGCCTTTCCACCTTCTCCAGCTGTGGCTTTAGTTCCAAGGCTGGAGCTCTCTTCTCTGCCTGCGGCTGAGGCTTTAGGCCCTGAAGTCAGTGCTGTTCTAACTGGGGCTGTGGCTGTGAGTCCCTGGGCTGGATGCAGCCTTTTGGGCACTGGCCCAAAGTCACCAGGCCTGGTACCAAATTGTAAGAAAACATGAGGGCCGCCCAATGGGGTTATCTGAAGTAACAAAACAGAGAAATTAAGATGACTCTTGTGTAACCAGCCTGGGTCATCCTCTCGCTCAGGCACCGCATGATCAGACCCAGGAGATGTTGCCCCCAGGCTCCCCCTGGCTGGAGGCTGGGAGGATTGGGGCTCCCAAGCAATCAGCCAGCATTCGGATGAGTCAGCCCTCTGGTTTTTATGAGGACAGACGAGTCCACCTTGGAAAGCCATCTGGGCAAAGGCAGAACAGCTTTGTTGTTGGGCCGCAGCACTCTGTGGCAGGGCGCTGCTCAAGCGCTGGGCCTGCATTTCCTCCTGGGCATCCACGCGTGCTCTGAGTCTGCTGCAGCTTTCTGCAGGGTTTGTGGCTTCCTGCTGAGGAGCTCCTCGTGTTCTTCTGCAGCTGCCCCCCAGCATCACTGCTGCCTCCTCTGGTGCCGTGCCGGGAGATGCGTCAGCGTCCATCAGCCTGCGCTTCCTTCCTCCAGCAGCAGCTGCTCCTGCACTGACCTTCATTCACACTGGATGCCGTTCGCTTCCAGCGCCAGCTGACCTGCGAGACAGAGAAAGGAAATGTGGGATCAGCACAAATGCAGAAGCCCGAGGCTGTGCCACCACCACGTACTGCAGCCTTGGGAAGCCAGCTGCCACTGCAACCTTGGTCAGAATTAAAGCAGGCTCCGTAAATTAAGTGTGACTTCTGAACTGAAGTGATTGCCACAGTCAGAAATAAATACTGAAATCGCTTACTGAACTGTAGGTGGTTACCTCTGAATTCTTTTGCTTTGGGGAAAATATGGACTGGGAATTGTAGGGTACGAGAAAAACGAGGAGCACTTGGCATCTCAGGCAAACTGAGCAGCGCAGGGAAGATTGCTGCATTTCTTCTTCTCCTGGCCCAGAAATGAATTTTCCTTCCTTAAAATGAGAAAAGAAGAGCCTGACAGAGTAGACACATTACAGTCCCACATCCCGGGTAGAAGCTGGAGAGCTGTCGTGGCACAACGCTTAGGGCTGCAGAAATTGAGGGTGCCTCTAAGCTTTAGAACAAGGTGAAAGACAAGGTGGAATGCGAAACGTCGGCACCTCCTGCAGAGCACATCACACAGCTGCAGGCACCACCTGAGGGGCAACAGATCAGAAAGGAAAACCTTACTATGTGAACGCAGGGACAAGCTGCTCTCTTCTTCTGGGCCACGCTAATCCAGCTGGTTTGTCTGAAAGGGCTCAGAGGCCACACATGGGATCCTTTCTGCTGCTGGTTCTCTCAGGGCAAGAACCTCCACTCTCAGAGCAGCAGCAGTGTCCCCCCGGAACCTCCTCACAGCCCTCTATTGCCCCAAATCCCCCAGACCCACCCCTGGAGCCCATATACTCCAATTCCCTGCCACAGCCTACTCCAGCCCCGTGTGCCTCCCTACACCTTAACAGCCTTCTGCAGCCCCCTGCCCTCCGCAGCCCTCCCCAGCTCCCTGCAGCCCTTCCCAGCTCCCCGCAGCTTCCTCGCCCCCTCTATTTCCCCATCAGCCCCCTGTATCTCTCCCAGAGCTCCCCAGAGCCCCACATCTATCCCACATCCACCCCACACCCACAGCCCATCCCATATATATCCCACTTCCCCACACCCCATCCTGTCTCCATCCACATCCCCACATCCCAGCCCCACTTCCAGCCCCTCACCCCACATGGAGGTGGCTGATGGCCGCGCACACTTCCTTCCCTGTCCCGGCGCAGCTCTCCATCCCTCCCGGCTCCGGCGCCGCTGTGCTCAGCACCACTGCCATCGTGCCGTGCTTCCGTCTCGGTGCTGCCCGGAGCTCCGGCGCGCAGCGGCTGTGGGACCGGCGCCGTCTGAGGGGAGAGCTGGCTGCCTATGGCTGTTCCCATGCACTGTGCCTCAGCCAATCGGAGCCGGCGGTGCTGCCACTGACCAATCAGATGCACGAACGGGCCGGAACTGCCCCTGAGCAATGAGAGTCTGGGGGCGGGCCAGAGCTGCCACTGACCAATGAGAGGCCGGGAGTGGGGCGGAGCTCTGTGATGGGGCGGGGGGTGGGGGTGTTCCCTGTTGCTGTAGGGGTTGGGATGTGGGATTGGGATTTGGGAGGAGGGATTGGGATTGACAGGTGTGAGATGGGGCTGGGGTGAGGGATTGGGAGTGAGATTTGGAATTGGGGCTAGGATGTGGGGTTGGGATTTTGGGGTAAAAAGGGGTGTGTGGGGCGGTGTTGGAGTGCATTTATTTCTTCTTGAGAACTTGAGAACACACACTTGAGAAAGAAACTGGACTGGGGATCCCCGTGAGCTGTAACCCACCATGAGCCATACCCCAAGATGGCCACAGAACCCTGTATGTGCACTACCCCATGGCTGCATGTGACCCACAGCCCTGTGTGAACCACAGCCCCACACGACCCTGTGACTCCCTGACCCTGCCTGCCTCATCACAGTGCGACCCCATGCCGTGTGGCCCCAGAACTCTGGGATCCCTGCCCCAACCTCACCTTGACTACATAACCCCATGTGGCCCATAACTCCATGCCATCCCACCTGACCCTGCAATCCCATCTGACCCCATAACTCACTGCAATCCTGTAACCCAACGCCACCCCGCAACTCTGTGACCCTGCAGGACCCCCATGTGAGCCACCACCCCGTGTCATCACTCCACGTGGCCATAGAACAAACCGTGTGTGGGGAAAAGGCATCTCCTCCTCGGGGTGGGGCTGCCCCAGAGCTGCCCCAAAGAAAACATGGGGTGGGCTGCAGCCGCACGTCTTGGTTGGGAGAGCTGGGAACTGGCTGAAGGGGCCAGAAGGACAGGAATGTTTCTGTAGGGAAATACCTTGACAAGGTCTGGGGAAGGGGCTGGAGCTTGGCTGCGTGGCAATGAGGGAGACTTGAAACACGAATGGAGCTGGATGGACTGAAGCAAATCAACTCCTTTGCAAGACAGTGGGAGAAGAAATCCAAGTCAGCTGCAGAACAAACTACAAAACTCCTTAGAAAAAAGGTATCCCAGCTTAGGGCTGTTGGAGCAGGAGGGACAGTGCAGCTTGGTGGCAGGGAAGAAATTGCTCTAACATCAGGACTTGGAGCAGTTGATGCAACAGCCTGAGAAATGGACAAAGAACTGATGGCAGCGCAGCACGAGGAGGAAAGAATGCTTGGTGGTGCAGAAGGATGGAGAACATCAGCGGTGCAATTCCCCTTTTGCTCAACATGTGCTGCCCGGCGTCGAGGAAAGGATGAGAGGAGTGTGAGAATTGGTTTGCATAAGTAGTTAGTATGTGCAGAGGTTTTCCCACAGCCCGTGAGGGAGAATGCTGAAATGAGGCAAAAGGACAAAAAAAATGCAAGATACAAGACACACAGGAGACAAAGTGTGTATAATGCATATTATAGAAGAAGGAATCTTGGGCACGGCGGAGCTGCTGCTTGTCACACAGCAGTGCTTTATGGGCATTTAACGGGATTCCTGCAAAGCCTTTGGTGTGGTCCTGAGCTGCATCCTCACCTCCACATTGGAGGACAAAGGGTTTGAAAGGTGAGCTGTTCGGTCAGTAAAGAACTGGTTGGGTGGTTGAGGCGGAGGGCTGTGCTGTGCAGCACTGTGTGCGGATGGAGGCCAGTGGTAACTGGCGTCATCCAGGGGCTCGTCTTGGCACTGGAGCTCTTCAGGTACATGTCCATGACAGACAGTGGGATCAGATGCAATCTCAGAGGTGGGGAGTGCAGATGGTATGACAGAAGGAAGGGATGTCCTCCAGAAGGATCTGGAGAAGCTTGAGAGCTAGGCACACATAAGCTTAATGACAATCAACACGGCCTTTTAAATCTGGGGTTTTCTCCCTGAAATCCCTGTTTTTCCCCTTCAATCTGGGGTTTCCTCCCCAAAATCTATCTCTATT